CACCACCTACAAGAACCAAAACATCTCTGCTAAAAATAGATATCTGGCAGAAAGGACCATCCAGCAAAGCAACAGTAGAAAGTTTTACTTAGCCCCCTCCAAAAAAGGAGGGATTGACCTGGCAGTAGAAGATGCAGTTTAGTGTAACCACCACCTTTTGGGACATCTCTGCTAATCTACCTTCCCAACCTCATCCTTTGTATCAGATTTAGTCATTCCACTGAAATGTGAGATTTCAGCCTGTGGAGCTAATCTGGCAGAAAACTCACAGGGCAAAAGAAAAAGAGGGAGCAATTTCTCCATCCACCACCACCCTGAACCAAGTCACCTAGCACTTGGGCAACAAGTGTCTCTACAGCAAAGGCGGCTGCCGTCGCACAGTGAACCAGTCCTTGAAGGGCTCCTGTAACACCTCAACGGAGGGGCCTGCTGGTGCACAAAGCACTTTTCTCTGGGAGCTTTCTGAAGGAGATGGGGAGGCTGCCAATTTTGGAGGCTCACCACCTGATCCCAAGGTGAGGTTGGCTCGGAGGCTCATTGGGGGTACCCAGAGTTGCCAATCAGACTAGAGACCCCCCTCACCCTCAATAGGGCAGTTAGGAAGACAGAGCATAGTTCCTAGCAGTGCCTCCCTCCAGCTCCTCACAGATGCAAGATCTCAGATCAGGGACTCCCAAAGCACAGAATCGCTAAGTACCAGATTTTAATACAACGCAGAACCACCACATAACCTTTTAAATCATTGAGATATGCCTCATGAGACATAATAAAGTATCTGAAAACAAATTACCCTATCTGAATAGCTGTGCCTTACAAGGAAGGAGTTTTCCCCTCTGATCTGCTCTTCCTCTCAAATTCAGAAGCTTTCAGTGTTTTCTGGATTATGATGAATTCCATACAATTTCTGCTATGTGCCTAACAAAATTCTGCCAACAGAAAATTAAAAACCAGACACATAGTCAAAATGTCAAGCCTAATAAACAACCAAGTAAATAACCGTCTATGAATGAAGTGCTGTGAACATCTAGCCCTCTTCTCAACTAGAAGTGACACTCCTAATGAGTGGTCAAAAATCAGTAGACGCAATTTTCACAGCTGCTTTCAGTGTAAGTTAGAGACATTTCTGTGCTTTGCCTGTATCAGAGGGTCATAAAACAAGCTAGCAGAGTCACTCAACACGTTGAGGAAAGCTCCTGGGGGACCACACATACTGCTTCTGGGCTGACCACAACCTTTCTGTGCTGTCCAAAAGTAGCTTTAAAGAGTTTCAAACTGTCAGCCCTTCTGTTCCTATTGCCAACAAGACCCGATCGATGCATTTCAACAGCTGGCTATCAGCAGCACGTTAATGCTTTGGAAAGACTGCAAACATCAAGCCCCCCCTACATAGGGCACCTGCTCTCAGAGGATCGAAGGCAGTTACTCAAGCAGCTGCTCTTCTTCCACAATGGTTAAATTGGTGGCAGACCTATAGAACATAACCTTTCTGCCCCTTTTGCCTAGAGGAATTCAGATGACAAGAATCAGGATGTCCCAATTCTACTTCCACTTGTATCTCTAAAGACCTTTTAAGAGGACACAGAAGAAAACATGAAACACCTGGAAATAACAAAGCTCCCCTGACAGTTCATTGCAGGCTGAAAGGTGCATAAGCATCGCATCACCCAGTTCAAGAGGGAAAGAAATAAGGCAGGCTCTTCATATTCTCTGGCCACTTTGCCAATTTAGTAATTCTATGCATAAATATTAAACAAGACATCGCCTTTTACCCTAAAGGAAAAAGGTTAACATCTACACTTGCAGAGTTTTTTTCCTTCTTTTTTTTGATAATGGGCATCTCAGAACCCAATATGTGTATAAATACACTGAAGGGAATGGTCTAAAAGATAACAAGGAGCAAATTCATTTTTTCAGGTTTTCAATTAAGGTCAGAAGTCACTTGCACAGAAGTCATAGATTTCATTAATTAGGTGACAGCATTTAACAAGATTGTTACCTTTCTGTATTTTTTTTCATTAATTAGGTGACAGCATTTAATCTAACAAGATTGTTACCTTTCTGTATTTTTAATCAAACATATCCCAGTAACCTAAGAGCCACTCAGAACTCATGCACCTTGAGAACATATTATACCCCAGTAACCTGAGAGCCACTCAGAACTCATGCACCTTGAAAACTGTATAGACAAATATCTCAGGGAATTGGTCAGTTATTTCTTATGGGAAGCACTTCCTGGCCAGAAGCATTTGCTCACTTGTTTGCTTTTGCACATTTCACAATCAAATACCCATCTTACCTCCCAGAAGGTCAATGGGAATTTTGTCTGAGGAAAGCTTGATGCAGACCAAGGACCTCAGAGCCTTAGCCACATGGCAGTTTGGTTGCCAAAAATTGCATTTTTAATGCATACATATATAGTGGAAAGGCTGCATTTCCTCCCAGATAAGTACCCAAATCCCAAGGGATGCATACTGGTACTACCCATTTGATTTCAGAGGGAGTTCAAGCATGTACACAGCAGAAAAGCTTGCTCTGAACTCAATCCTTCCTGATAATCTGGGATTAACAGGCTTCATTCATGGGTAGTGGTCTAATGGTGGCTACCTCAAAAGAGAAGTGTGTGCAGCAATAAAATTAAAGGGTCATTAATGAAAGCTGGGGAAGGAAACTATGGGAAAGTTTTAAGTTGGCAGAGAGATCAGGAACAGAGGCCTCTTCTCGCCATTCTTTTTCCATTTTCTTACTCATTGTTTCCAAATACTAAACCTTGTGTTCTACATACACAAACGCCTTCCTTTTCCACTCATTGCCATACTCTGTGGGCACCAAGCAGGATGAGCTGTAACGCATCGTACAGAAGGCGGCTGTGACTTTCATGTTTTGTTTGGGGCCAATATCATCTCTCAGTGAACAGAAGTCCACTGTTTTTAAACTGAGCTTCAGACTGGTCGGAATATCAGAGTTTTGATGATATCCAATATTTCACAGAACAGAAGTTCAGGTAACTGAGTATCCTTGACAGATTTCTCAAAATACAGATCTTGGCCAGCAGAGGAAACGACCTATCAATATCACATTAACCAACCCATTTTCTCAGGCTCTGGACCATGCAAGACCCAAACATGTGAGGAGCAAGCAGAGACCTCCAAATTAAGCTGTATTGACATCATTACTGAAACAAGGTAGAATTTCAAGTATCCCAATGGACTTTTGCAAGTCTCTTGGAGGTCTGAATAGGCAAAGGCTGTGAGAAGACAGCTCAAAAGCTTTCTCCTAGAAATAAGACTCACATCATTCTCCAAATAAGTTTCTACCCATCTATATCCTCAAATGATGCATTTGTCCATCCTGTAAAAGATTATCATTTAAAATGCAGATTAATATATTTGGATTATGAAAACAAAATCTATCGTGAAAATGATTCCGCAAGACTTAACATTAAAAGATGCACCCATCATCTTCTACACAGTAAAAAAACGGTCCAGCAAATGATATAAATCAACCGCTATCTAAACATTGTGAAATAGCCATCTACATTTAGTATAACATAACAGCATATTTGAATGACTGATTAAAGAAATATTGTATTCATCATCTTTTAATATATTTTTGTTATTCAAAAAACAATGTCCATTTACATGCATATTTTTAAAACATCCTACACATCTTGGTTTCAGAGTTCCATGCCATCAATGGAAAACGAACTCGTAGTAATATTTACTGGAGAAACGCAACATGAACAAGGCATAGGCCTGCACTCTCCTCAGTTCGCATGCAAGGCTAAAGAAAAGAGCAACCTGAACAGGTAGAAAAATATGAAAAAAGCTCAAAATGATGCTATTATATTGGTCTTAATGTGACCAAGGAACCCTTCTGCAGTGCATTATACAAACCTTTATGCCCCCAATCTTTGCTCTCTACTCTTCTTTATCATGGTTAAAGCTATTTTCCACATTTTCATCCACTTAATTTCTGTCATCCCAGATCTAGGGGCTTGAAAGCATTACCCTCACCCAGGTCTAGGTAACAACCTAAGACATGAGGGTGAGAAACACCGCCTCAGCTTTTAAGTGACATGCAGGAAGTCCAGAAAATTGCAGTAATCCATCTGACATTCAAATCTAAAGGTAGGAGCAGTCATTAGCAGCACTGGCATGCCTATCTGAGCTGCCTAGAAGAGCACAGATGTTGATTATTATGTTGATATGTTCATTATTACATAGAATTATGTGAGACCAGCTTCCAAGCCTGCAACTACATATGTATTAAAAAACACACGCTATATAACCATATATAGGCCACAACTAACCCGTGCCCTTGATGCATGGGCAAAAAGCAACCTCTGCACAAATAAAGCCCCTGCTTTCTCCTTCATGTATTTTCTCAAAGGTAAGAAATAGGGCTACTAGTTGTGACATAGGTACACAATTAGCAATTAAATTCCAAATTAAATACAGATCAGAAACTTTCCTCTATTTGCACAGTGCAGAACTGCTATTTGATTTGATGCAGGAGCAAACGAAGAACATCCTTTTACTTATATAACAGCAGGAAATCAACTAGCTCTAATAGCCCTTCAAGGCCTAAGAAATTATGGAAGAGGAAGCATGCCCCAAGCAGTCCAAGATTACAGGAGACCATTTGACCCAACAACATATTCAAAGCATCAAAACACCCACAGAATTACTACAACCTATAATAAAAGGTACCTTTTTTTTTTTTTTTTTTTGAGATGCACTTTGATATCTGACACTAATATCTAATGACAATATTCTTTTCTTCCCTCGCCTTACACTAATAAAAATCAAAAACAAAGTAAGCATCTATTGTACTCCAGGAAAGACACATATACCACCGCACAGAAGCTGTTCTTAAGACTTTCGTTTAACTGACAGACATCAAAAAAGACACCAATTATTTTAAAACAATATGAGATAGAATTTAAACAGGCAGCAAGAGCCTATCGGTTTAACTCCCATGAAGTGGAACTCTCCTCTTACCTGTGTTCCAGCTCCCGGATAGACAGGATAACTCCCGATGTAGTCGCCTTCTGCTGCAGGGTGGCCAGAAACGTGAACTCGCTTTTATTCCGAAAGAGCTGAATTAGCTTCTCAGTCACGTGTGGAGTAGCATGGATTTCTCTTTCTATATCTAAAAATTTCATTTAAAAGGGAAACAACAGTTTAGTGAAAACGCCAAGCCAGAAAAATTCAGATCACACTTTTCACAGTCGATATTTCGCATTTTGGAGAAGCGGTCACCTCGCACCACCATTGCCCTCATTCCTCAGCCTGATGCCACCTGTGTACCTGCTTGTCTCCTTGACAAAAAGCAGTCGCTGCTCGAGTCACTGCAAGTAAGGTGTGCCATGGCCAGATAAATCTGCCCCTAATTTCAGAAGGGTCTCGGGCACCGACTTACCCAACAACTTGTCAAGCTCTAATTTTGGCTCTATCAACTCTATTACCAACTCTCCATCATCCCTCCTGTCGTTCCACTGTGCACTATGGCTAATAATGCTATACAGCTGTGTGTCTGCTCCCAAAATAAATACCAGGCACACTTGCAATCCATTGTTTCTGGGATTTCTCATTTTATACAAAGTGCAACAGCTCATACAATATTTATTAAAACTCCTGCCTGACCAAGGAGACACAGAAATATTTTAGCCTTGCTCATCCTGCATCCCACAGCAGCACTCCTTGTTCCATCTCTTAACACTTAAACCCTCACCTAATATCTTCATCCCATGCCTTTAATTCACAATATCCCATCCCTATGGAGGTGATTAATGACCAAGGGAGAGAAATCACAGCATTTTAGTTCACAGCTGGTTTTGATTTTTACCATTACCACTTTATTATCGGATCACAATCTTCACCTGGCCCACTTAGCAAACCTATGACTGGTCAAAATGCTGCCTCCATCTCTTCAAAAAGAGAATCAGGCAATGCAGAACAACTTGTCCCAGAAACCAGGAGGTTTTGACATACTACTCCGAAAACATTACCTTATCCATCTCCCCACACAGCCACCAAACCTCACACAGCAATCCCGGGCTCTTTAGCCACGATCGTCACATCAAGAAAACATCAGGTTCATCTTCAGACTTCCAAAACTAAAAATAAATACACACGCCCTCAGCACAGGTGCCTCGAGGGGGAGATTTTCTTTTTACATTCCCTATAAAAATAACTGTCTGCTGGTAATGAAACATCATATTTCCCACGTAGCGTAGAAGAATATGGGTTTATACAGTCATCCGCAGCAAAACAGCGCTTCCACACTCGAGCAGTAACACAACCTCAGCAAAAAAATAAAAATAATGATAGCTATGACTCATATGACCTCCTACATGATTTTATTCTTTTAATTTGCAATAGCAGCTACCCAAGCTTCTTTTTTTTTAATATAGTAGAACATCTCCAAAATAAAGGAGTTAAAGCAAGGTACATACATGATTATTGGAAAGCACCGACAGCCCCAAACCCTCTCAATGGGGAACCTGCTAAGGACGATGCTCCCAGCCTTGCTCACCAGAACTAGCTGCTCACCCCCAAACAAGTTGTAAGAGTCATTTCTACAAAAGTCTGGGGTTTTTGCCTTGTTGAACCCAATGAATTGAATCTGTTTCAGCTGATAACAAATTCCATTTGGGGATTTCCTTTTCATTGCTGTCCCCCCACTTTTTTTTTTTTTTTTTGATTGCTCATTTCGTTTCTCCACACTAAATGCTGCAATATTCCCATTTTAGTGACTTTTTCCATGTCAAAACACATAGGACAGCGTTTTGAAAATGAAAAGATATGGTAAAATATATGGTCCATTACTGTAACAGAAATTAAAATGAGTTGAGAGAAGGGGAGGGGGGGGAAAACTGTTAAGAGTAGGCAAAGTTTTTTCTCAACTTAATTTTACAGCAGCCCCAAAGATCCATGATACCAAGGAAAGTACCCAACCATTCTAGCTGGGATTGGAAGCCATGCAGAGTATGCAGCAGTTCTTAGGTGCTCAATCCCAAGCCAGCTGGGAAATCATGCTTCCAATACACGCTTCCAGGATACAGGAAAAAATAGTAAAATTTAGGTCTAAATGAACTTTTTGAAACAGGCAATACGTTTTATCACACCAGCCTGTCCAAATATTTTGTGCTTTTCCTTCCCTGCTTTGGCAGGAAAAGCAGCCACATTGCTTTAGTGGAAGCTTCAAACTTTTTAAAGCTCCTAGTTTCACCGGGCTTTCAAGGTAACCTTTGCACAAGAGCTCTGGACAAGCAAGAAAATATTTAACCCTACAGAGAACATAGATTTCAGTGACAGTAACTTAGGAAACAAATATCACAACATATTGGTTTTTACCTTGGTATGGGCAGCTTTCAGCACTGTCCCTCCTGCCTCACAGCAGCAAAATAAAGTGTTCCCCCAATAATACCCATTTTTCAAAGAGGTTGTGGGGGCAAAATTCATACAAATTTCTCCTTATCCAAAGTAGGGGAAAAAGAAAAAGATCTTGCAACATGCTTCCCTCACAGACAGGTCGTTGCCGACTGCACATCTTTGCCACTTTGCTATATCCACGTGAGTAGGATACACATTTTAATGCTTTATTTGCTTTTGCCTTGCTCGTTCCACTCAGCCAGTAATAAACAGTAGGAAATCATATTTTACAGCACAGCTTTTGAAATTACGATTATTTGCTATAAATCACTTTTTTTATATGTTACTTCAAACACTGTTTCTGGAGAATAAGATCTGCCTGCACTGAAATGCTCAGTGATTTTAATATGCATGCCTCCTACAGAGATGATGTCTCATTTTAATTATTGTTTCGGTTTAATGGGTTTTCATTAAATTAGAGGTTGGTGCAATTACCAGGGTGAATAGCTAATGTTAAAGGTAAGTTCTCATAGATGTACAGCAAAAGCAGTTCTGTTAGAGAAGGTGGAAAATAGCATGATCCAGTGGAAACTCCTTTTTGCAAGATGCAGAACTGCTTTGGCTGTAAATGTTTATACTGTTGTCGTTTTGATGTACGCTTCTGTGTACTAGTTTATAACTAGGTCTCTTAGCAAAATTAACCTAGCATTTGAAATTATATGTGTATTCCACAGCATTAAAGAAGCCACTGCAAACCAAGTCCTCAAGCTCCATGTGCCAGGGACAGCAGGATCTGGAGTCACCAAGAAAATAGAGATCACTTAGCAAATCACATTTTCTCTAACTAACCAGTAATTGAGTTGATTTAGTGGATTAACATTGCACCTCCTCACTTGTGGAAAATTGGCCTGACTTGAGCACCAGGCAGGAAGACAGCGCTATTAATCACACAGCTGTCAAGGAGTCACCATCTTTGTATCACTCCATCAGTGCCACCGAGCCCAACCACGTCGATCCACAACTCCAACACTCAGGTTTGCAAGCATTTTTTGGCACTCCGCACAGCACATGTTGCTCCAGCAGCCACTTCTCATTTAGGAGCTTTAGGTGGCCATGGGGCTCACATTCCTGAAGTTGCCTCCTTGGGGAACTTGCACTGAAACCAAGGCAGCTTGATCTCAACCAAGTCGTTGATCTCTTAATTAAATGCTCACACCTTAACTGGTAGAGATGCCACGCTAGTACTAAAAGCACATCATCTGCTCTTAAATCATGTGTGTTAACCCAATTAGATGCCTTGTTAGTTAATTAGCTTAGGAGTCAGTAATAAAGTCTTTCCCTGCTGTCTTAGGCAAGGTACCACATCACTGCAACTAGGCAATTTAGAGGTTGCTATAACTATTTTCCAAATTTGTACTTAACTCTGCAAAAACAAGAAAAAGAGGCATGGCACACAGGGAAGCAGCAGTGGTTTGACTCATTTGATACGTACTGCCCGTCCTTTCTGCAGGAGCACTGCCCATTTCAGGGACCTATTTCAGAGCAAGTGCTCACATTGCACAAAATAACAAGCCACCCCAAAATCACCATTTCTTCATGCCAAAGCCTCTAAAGCAATCTTTGTCCTCCCTTCTCTACTAAATGTTTTCAGGTATGTCCAAGTCAGTCTTCCCCTCCTCCAGGCCAAAATTGGAAGTGATTTTTAAAGTGTAACATGAAGATAGTATCAGAAGGCAAGGAGCATCTAAATCCAAAAGAAATCAAGGATCAAATCAATTGACTACTTTTATTTATTGCAAATGACTACTATTTATAGTTTGGATTTGTTTCTTCCCATTATACTTTTGTAATACAGAAAAATACACACCTAAATCCCAGCTTTGTCAATAGAGTGTTAGAGATTGCATTTTTAAACTGTGTGGAACAATTCTGAATTCTCACGTAGCACTTTCTTACAGATATGAAAAATGCGGTCCTTAAATGAAGACCGCTTTGCAAATAAATAAATATTAACAGCAAGTAATTCTTAGGTTCTTTAGGGTCCCAAAATTGGACATGAGTATATCAAATGCTGCTGAGGAGGGGCTGCATGCCTAAACCTTATGAGTTTTCAACAGCTCATTTAGGGGGAAGTTCCAGCAGACAGAAATCTCTGGCAGTTTCTTCACTTGCAGGGAGAAATTACAACACCAAATGCTACTTGCACCCACCATCAGACCCCCACCAACACACAGGTTTTAGTTCCCAGTCCAGTAAACCCTTCAACTATGTGAATAATCCAACTGAAGCCAAAATGAAATTATCCATGAAGTTCAAAGCAAGCATACACTGAAGTGCTCTCTCCGTTCAAAACTCTAATGATCTGACACTTTAAATAGTGTTTTAATTACTTTTAAAGCTCATAGGTCCTTTATTGCTAAAAATCTTACGGATTTTCTCTAGTCTGAGAGAGACTTCTCCAGTTTGTGCAAGCATTAAAAAATGTGCTTCATCAATTAATTCTCCCCTATGCTTTCTTTGCCACATAAAAATGACTTTCACATTATTGTTAAAACAAATTAAATCTCGGGTGTCTGTTTTATTTATTAACTGCATTATGATAGCATGGGGGGAGGGTAATATATTTGTCAAAGCCCTTCTCTATCAAGGCATAATTTCCACTGTCATCCTTTCTACAATTACATTTATATCCAATATTCTAGGTGTCTGTGTTTCTTGGAACACATAAAAGCACATATTTGTGTATTTCCCCTAAATATATATAAATTCTGTATT